CGCACATGAACATGCTCTACTACCTCTCTAGTAGTATTGGCTGTTCCAGGATCTCCCCCTTCTAGAGCAGGATCTTCAAGCTCCTCAGGAGTCTGCTCCAATACTGCTTCGTGGCCCTGGTCAGTGACTGATGTGTCATCCATCTCTGCAGCCGGTGTTTCCAATTCATCCTTATTGTAAACTGCTCCCTCATTTATTGAAGATTCCTCCTGTGTTACATACTTTTGAGTTTCATCGACCCTATTCGGGTAGTAATACCACAAGTCATCCTTTTCACTGTCTGAGTCATTTCTTAATCCACTTCCTGTCATGTTCTGATTTATTTCCTTTAATCCTCTTCCATATTTTCTCCCCACAGATTCTGTCCTGATCTCTGTTGGAGCAGCTGTATTTTGAATTTTTCCTGAATCAGACAATCTCACATCATCCCCAACAGGTAAGAGATGGTCTCTGTGAAGAGTCCTCACACTTCCCATTCCAGATTCAGGTTTTAAACGATATACAGGTAAGTTATTCAGCTTTTCAACTATCAGGTAAGGAACAGAATTCCACTTGTCACCAAGTTTGTTCTTTCCAGTCATACCCAGATTTCTTGTCAGCACACGATCTCCTACAGCCAGTGTCTGATGTTTTATGTGCTTGTCATACAATCGTTTGTTTCTCTTTTGACTTTTCTGTGCAGTTTCAGTTGCCAACTGATATGCTTGTTGTAACTCTGACTTCATTCTTTCTACATATTGTCGATGGCTACCAGCTCCTTTTCCATCAGGTGAAGTTCCAAAACACACATCCACTGGCAGACGAGCCTCTCTTCCAAATAGAAGATAGTACGGGGAATATCCAGTTGCATCATTCTTAGTACAGTTGTAAGCGTGCACTAATCGGTTGATGTGCTGACTCCATCTGTGTTTCTCCGTAGGATTCAGAGTACCGAGCATGGACAGCAGTGTTCGGTTGAATCTTTCTGGCTGAGGATCTCCTTGTGGATGATAGGGTGACGTTCTGGATTTTCTTATACCAAGCATGTTAAGCATTTCTTTTATGAGACCACTCTCAAAGTCTCTTCCCTGATCTGAGTGGATTCGGGTGGGTAAGCCATAGTGAACAAAAAATTTGTCGCACAGTACTTTGGCCACAGTTAGTGCTTTCTGATCTTTGGTTACAAATGCTTGTGCGTAGCGAGTGAAGTGGTCGGTTACAACCAGAACATTGCTTAGACCTCTGGAGTCAGGCTCAATAGATAAAAAGTCAATACATACTAAGTCAAATGGCCCATTGCTGGTGAGGTGGTACAGTGGGGCAGCCTTCTTAGGTACTGTTTTTCTTGTTACACATCGCCCACAATTCTTAACATACTGCTCCACATAGCTAGACATTCGGGGCCAATAGAATCGATCTCTCAGTAGTTCAGTTGTTCTCTCTACCCCCAAATGACCAGAGTCATCATGCAAGGAGCGCAGTACATGGGACCAATACCTTGAGGGTAAGACAAGCTGTATATTTTCCTTTCTGCAGGAACTGTTGGTGACTCTGTACAGAAGTTTATTCTCAATTTTCAACTTGGGTCCCTGCCGCCGTAACAGAGCAATTGAATCATCTGAACTCCTAGTATCAGTAAGTATTTGTCCAGACTCCAATTCTCGCTTCACTATACCAATTACAGGATCTTCATCTTGAGCCTTACTTAACTCCTCATGGCTCAACTGTTCCATAGGACTGAAACTCAATGAAGTGGGACAAGCAAATGCTTCTGGGATACTGTGAGAAGAGACACATAGATGATCCACTAGCCTGGAGGATGACTCATCACTTTCATTAATTCTTGCCAGCTGGCAAATAGCTTTTACTCCTGACTTTGAAATTTCCTTCCATTCTGTTGAGATAGCTGATTCAAAGGGGTAGCGTGACAATACATCAGCATCCGTGTTGTGACTCCCAGGCTTGTATTGTAAGCTAAAGTTGTATGTGGCTAAAGCAGCTAACCATCGGTGACCTGTTGCACTCAACTTGGCGCTGGACAGCACATAGGTAAGTGGATTGTTGTCTGTTTTCACCACAAACTGAGCACCATAAAGATAATCATGGAACTTGTCCACAACTGCCCATTTAAGCGCCAAGAACTCAAGCTGATGAATGGGGTAACGCTGCTCAGATGCACTAAGCTTTCGGCTTGCATAGGCTACTGGCCTAAGTCCACCAGGATGCTCCTGATTCAAAACAGCTCCCAGACCATTAAGGCTAGCATCCACATGAAGAACATAGGATTTGTTAGGGTCGGCGAAAGCAAGTACTGGGGCATGTGTGAGACAATAAATGATCTTGTGAAATGCTGCTGTACAGTTATCATCCCAACGCTCCCCAAAAGGCTCAGACGTTTTGTGATATTTTCTGACATCTGCGGTCTTTTTGTTTTGGCCAGATGTTGGTGGGTACCCTTTAGTGAGTTCTGTTAATGGCCTTACAATGGCTGAGTAGTCTTTTATGAATCGTCGGTAAAATCCACAGAAACCAAGAAAGGATCTCAGTGATTTCAGATCAGTGGGGATTTTCCAGCGGGTTACCGCCTCAACTTTAGCTGGGTCTGGTGATACTCCAGCAGCTGACACAATGTGCCCCACATAACGTACTTGGGACTGACAAAACTGGCATTTATCAATTGAAACTTTGAGGCCACACTCTCTGAGTCGATCTAAAACTTTTAATAGTCTCTCTTCATGTTCTTCAAGAGTGCGCCCAAACACAATGATATCATCCAGATAGACTATTACTTGAAGGAGATGCATGTCACCAACAGCTTTTTCCATTAGCCGTTGAAATGTGGCTGGAGCTCCAGTAATCCCTTGAGGCATACGTTCAAACTGGAAAAATCCTAAAGGACAGATAAATGCTGTCTTTTCTTTGTCCTCCTCAGCCATAGCTATTTGATAATATCCACTGCGAAGATCTAGCACAGAAAACCACTTACTGCCAGCCAAAGAGTCCAGAGCATCATCAATCCTGGGAGTAGTGTACTGATTGGGGATGGTGCGAGCATTTAGAGTTCTGTAGTCAATGCACATCCTAACTGCTCCACTCTTTTTCCTTGCAATTACAATGGGCGATGCATACTGGCTTCTTGATTCTGTAATTATTCCAGCCTCTAAAAGTTCTTTGATATGGCGTCGCACATCCTCGATGTCTGCAGGAGCGATGCGTCTGGAGCGCTCTCTGAAAGGTTTGGTGTCTGTCAGTCTAATGTTATGTTCAACTCCTTGGGCTAATCCCACATCCCACTCATTGGTAAAAAAGACATCACTTCTGACTGCCAACTTCTGACGGAGTCGCATTTCCCATAACTCAGGAATGGATGACTCTTCAAATTTAAACAGGCTTGGGTCAATTACTTGAGAGCTTTTTTCCCCAGAACCAACAGTAAGTGTGTCAGTAAGGTACACATTGGCCATTATTGTACCCGATGGAATTGAAATGTCCTTTGAGGTTTCGTTATGGACTAACACTTGCACACTGTTATCTTGAATGGTGGAAAAGGGAAGCACAAATGGAGTTATGAATGTACCAGCTGGAAGATTGTCCTCTTCAGGTGAGTCTACCACAAAAATTTCTTTTCTCAAGGGTTTTTCAGTCTCTATTTTACAGACAGCCAGTACTTCTCCTCTAGATGGAACTACACACTTTTCAGGTCCCATCCACCGTACTTTCCCCTCAGGCTGGTCGATTAAGGTATTTTTACATGTCTGCTGATTGAGATGGATTTCAGGAAGGTTAGTATGAATTCTTAAAGCTTGTGCAGTGCTGGATGATTTTACATCATGACTGAGAGTAGCAAGGCGCTGGAAGAAACTGGCGTTTGTTCCAATAATGACTGGTAACTGGGAGGGCCCTTGAGGTTCAGGACATACGAGAGCCAAGATGGACAGCGGCTCCTTTACTCCACTGACTGAGAACGGGAAAGTGACATCCACTACTATATATCCCTTATAAGGATAACTGGACGAACTGAGGCCCCATATGGATAATCCAGTCAAGGGGTGAATCGGTACATAATTTAAATTCTTAGAGTACCAACTCTCAAACACTATTGTCACTTGTGATCCACTGTCTAACAGGGCTTGACATAAATGTCCATTAATTGTCACTTCTACTGTTGATGCTGGTCCAACTAGGCCTTTTGGAATACTGCTGGCTTTGCTTATGTCTGTCTGACTCTTTTTAGAGAAACCAACTTGGTTCTGGGTTTTTCTGCTTTCATTAGCCTCGGACTTAAAACTCTTAGCTTGCCGCAAAGAACGAATTAGCTTCTGGATTACTTGGTCTGAATTTTGTGGGGCTTGACATTTTGTCGCAATATGACCGTCTTGTCCACATTTGTAACAGAAATAATCATCTTTTGTTCTGGTTGACTTTCGGCTAAATGATGATGAAGTGGACTGTGATGGTTTTGGCCGTTGTTCTGTAACCTCTAGTGAGCCCTGAGAAGGACTGACACTCATAACTGCCAACTGTTGTTGTAAGTACTGAACTTGTTTCTTTAACTCTTGAACTTCTACATCTTCTGTTTTTTCCATCTGGTTAGGTTTCTCTCTGGATTTAACCACCAAAGAAGAAGTAGAAACAGTTTTGGGCATGACTCCACATAATAGTGCACGCAGCTCTTGAATCTCTCCTTTGAGTTCTTGAATGACAGATGTGCTTGTGGTTTCATCACAATACTGTATGGATTTGGCTTTAGCTGACATTCTGTGGCGAGAAGCTTCACTCTCTTCTGCCTCACGTATTTCCTTCAGCAGACTCAGGAAAGAAGGTGGGCATGCTGTACGTTCTCGAAGCCTCAACTGTAGCAACATGAGATCAGAATTCACTGCCCCTCGAATGAGTTGTTCTACTCGCACTTTATCGGCCATTCTGAAAGACAGGCTATTTCTTTCCACTACTTTTTTTAGAGCTTTGTCAATTCTCCTCAGAAACTCTGATAATGCCTCCCCTGCATTTTGACGCATAAGTCAAAACTTAAAATACAGATCTTCACCAGACTCTGAAGATCCAAAGGAACTCTCTAATGCTTCCACATACTCTAAAGCATCTGCTTCTGGATTTGAGAAACGAACAGCTCTCACTATTTCCATTGCTGGTCCTTTAAGGCTTTCCATGATTCTGCGTCGTTTGTCTTTTTCAGTACAGTCACACTCAGTTATCATGAGCCTTGCTTGATCTATCCAGTTATCCATGTTTTCCTCTCCAATTGGGGTTGGAACAATGGCTGAAAATGTCCGAAGTCGTCGGTATGCATTTCCATCACTTGTTGGCTTTATGGTCTTTTCCAGTACTTCACCCATTGCACGTATAATTGATTCAGGAGAACTATCACCAGCACTGTGGGGTGTAATTAAAGCTTTTACGTCACTGAAAGTTTTCCCTTCCTCCATCAGGAACTTTGTCAGCTTTTCAGAGAATCCTTCAGCATCTGTATTAGAGGCACTTTCACTTGGTTGAATCACGATAACTGACCAGGGCTCACTCTTTTCCCCCCTTGTCACTTCAGGAGGAATACGGGTGGAGTCAGTGGCTTGTCGGCACTCACATAGAACCATCATAGACTGGGCAGTAGGTCCTTCTCTTGTGTCCCTCACTCGAACCCTTCCCAGAGCTTTGACAGTTTCCATTACATCTTCAATCTCTGCCACTTCTGTGTAAACAGGTACATTTAACAGGATTAAAGCATGAGTAGAATCAATACTGGCTGCTTCACACCATTTTGTTAACTCTGCTTGAAGACTGGGGTCCTTTCTCAAAGCCATAGCGACAGTTTATGAACTTTTGTATAGAAGACAGTAGGTGCTTGGATTCAGATAATTTAACTTGTCTCTTCTTTCTTTATGAACTTATCATTGATGTATCAGAGGGAGATCCCGGACGAGCCCCCACTTTATGTAGCGCCACCTAGGTGTATTAAGTTTAAGATAGCGCTCCAGGTTCAATACACTAAACGCCTACAAATATGTTGAAGTAGGCCCCTCTGATATATTTCAATGACGTAATGTAAATAAGTCAGATGAGAATACAAATATTTGCTGTGTTTTAATAAATTACTAGAAATAAACTCTTTGAATAATAAAACTCTTAGATAAATCAGAAAATATAAATAATTTAATTAGAATAAAAATGTAAATATTGGGAAAAACCCCAGATGTAAAACAAAATACAAAATATAGAATTTATGCACAGCTAAAAGACAGTAAAATGACCCAAAGTCAAACCCAGCAATTTACAGTACAATGAAGAATATTAATTAAACCAATATAGAAAAATACCACCTTTCTACACTCTAACAATTAAACTTTTAAATCAACAAGTGACTAAGAGTGACTGAATATGTTTCTCTTTGAAAGTGGCTACAATTGTGTCACAAAATTACACACTGAATTAAACCTATATAAACTATTAGTATAAATCTATACTGTAAAACACGCAGCAGTATTTTATGCTCACTGCATCTCCATAAACAACTCAAAACTCTGTGGGCCCACACACTCACACATTCATACACCCCCCGTTGCAGGACTGTATTGCTGCTAGTGTACGTTGTGGCCGGGAAAATGAAAATGGCCTCTTCACTCTCCTGAGCACAAATAAAATTAAACAAGATACCTCAGATGAAGATGACCTTGATCCAGATGACAGCAAACCAGATGCCAGCGATTCTGATGACAGCGATCCAGTTGACAGCGCTCCAGATGCCAGCGATCCAGTTGACAGCGATCCAGATGACAGCGATCCAGTTGACAGCGATCCAGATGACAGCAATCCAAATGACAGCGATCCAGATGACAGCAATATATGACAGTTCTCCAAACTGACAACACTTGTGAACAACGGGCCAACGAGCCGCGATCGATCGGCGAACTTCTGCCGCGGGTCTTTCAAATCCTCACTTTCACTTTTCCTCCCCAGCTGATGAGAGGCAAATCTCACGTAGTATTCAGGTTATTTGTGGTGCTATTTGCTCCTCTTTGACTCTTTCATCCTTGTTTCATACTAATCTAACAGTCTCTTTTTTCTCCTCCTTATTTTCAGTTTAACCGTCTCTCTCTCAGTTCAGCTTTAGTCCTCCGTAACTGTCAGTTGACAATCTAGGCATTTAAAAAATGCTCACTCACTCTGAACTGACTAATAACTGACACTGGAAACTTATATGATGAAAACACACCGCGAACTTAAAACAAACACAAAACAAACTCAAAGTAATCAAAAACATGTTGTTCACACGCAATATCTATTACTATCTCTTGTTTTTATTCTCCGTGAATGTTACGCAATCATAACAGCCGCGATGCGAGTCTCCCCTTCAGTTTCCAAAACTGCCGGCTGTGTCTCCTCTCTCCCTTCTCTCTTCCCAACAGCCAATCACATTTCACACTCCACACCAGAGGGCGGGACTACACGCATATAAACCAATCATGTAGGAACACCTACCAAACTTGTTAACCCCATGTATTTCAGTGAAGGTTGATCAAACTTGCTATCTTATCATATTCTCAGAGATAGACGCTCATATATTACACATCAACATTAGGATGTATATTCACAAATGAATGCAAAACACATTTTAGATTTAATTCTGTTCTAGAACCAATATGAATAAATAAATAAATAAATAAATAGATAGATAGACAATAAATAAATAAATAACCTTAAGATTACTTTAAAACTTAACTTGTAGAACTTCATTCTACTGGGTTACATATATACAAGTCTTTTGCTATACCATAAAGCTAGAGCTTTTCATCATAACCGATCATTACTATGGTGAGAAAGTAAAAAAATTCATTTTGAAAACGTAATGCATTTTTTTCTTCTGCTGTTTGGAACAACTAACACTCATTTGGGGGATGGTGGGTCTCTAGCAGGGGGGTCTTTGGAAAGACCGCTGGCAAATGCAATGGATGAGCTCACCGGGGGCATTGATTAGACCCAAGGGAGAGCTCACCAAGCCATGCCCGGGTAGAGACCACTCTCCCCGGCGTGTCCCGCGCCTGGAGGTGCTAGCGCGACCCTGGGTTTCGCTGACCTGCCGTGGAGGTTTCGGTAACGGCGAGAAAAAGGGCACTTAGTGCAATTTTTGATTTAGCGGTTGAAGGAACCAGAGCTCTAAGGGGGGGCCTGTTGCCCCAGGAGACGCGCTCGAACCCAGGCGAGCTAGGTGCGTGCTACTGCCCTGGTCTAGCCAAAGACCTGGTCCAGCCAAAGGCATCCAAAGCAGCCCCAGGAGACGCGCTCAAACCCGGGCGAGCCAGGCACGCGCAGTTTGGCCCCGCAGGGTCACCAGTGGCACGGCACAGTTCAACGCAAACGCATGGATGAGCTCACCGGGGGCGTTGATTAGACCCAAGGGAGAGCTTACCAAGCCATGCCCGGGTATAGACCACTCTCCACGGCGTGTTCCGCACCTGGAGGTGCTAGCGCGACCCTGGGTTTCGCTGACCTGGCGTTGAGGTTTCGGTAACGGCGAGAAAAAGGGCACTTAGTGCAATTTTTGATTTAGCGGTTGAAGGAACCAGGGCTCTAAGAGCAGGCCTGCTGCCCCCGAAGGCGCGAGCGAACACGGGCAAGGCCTCCCTGAGGCTAGAACTACGTGCTGCTAGTGCCCCATCCACGAGTCAAAGGCCGGTGGTGCCCCATTCACAAACCCAAAGACCGATTGGGGCAACAGCGGTACGTCTTGGCCAGCTGGGTCAAAAGCTGTCAAAATCCACAGCGGCGTCCGTCAAGGGTGTCCTTCATCTCCGCTCCTGTATGTGGCTTGCATAGAGCCACTGGCACAGATCTTGAGAAGGGACAAATGGATTTCGGGTTTTAAAGTACCGGGAACGGGTGGGTTAGATGTAACATGTCTTTTATATATGGATGACGTCACACTTTTAACTTCAGACCTGTCAACGGCCCGAAGAGCCATGGATTTGACCGACTGGTTCGGTCGGGCCTCGGGCGCAAAACTGAACAGAAACAAGTCCGAGGCCCAGCTCTTCGGGCCGTGGGACAACATCCAACCAGAGGGGCTTGACATGGTTTTTAGAAGGGATGATCATTTTAAATTTTTAGGGGTGAAATTTGATAAAGAGGGAGGAGGTCGGGAAAACTGGAATGATATTTTAGGGAAAGTTAGACAGCGTTTGGGTTTTTGGGTTTTAAGACAGTTGACCATATAGGGTAAAATTTTAATTTATAAAGCGGTGATTTTACCCTTAATGCTTCTTGTCTGTTCTGTTTTTAGCCCACCAAGGCACTTCCTGCTGGAGTTGGAGAGGGCGGTGTTTTACTTCATATGAAGGTCCAAATGAGAAAGAATGAGAAGGGAGGTCGTAAAGAAAAAAACAGAGAATGGCGGAAAAGGCCTCCCGGACCCCTACCTGTTTTTAGCCAGCCGCTTCACCGCCCTCCATTTTAGATACGTTACGACCCCATCCAGAGAAAACAAAACAGCAGCAATGGCGAGATTCTGGATGGGGTCATACCTATGGTCTTTAAAGGTTTTAACTCCAGACTTGAAAACTCCAGTTGCTTTTAACCTCACTAGAGAATATGATTTTATAAAGAAATTTTTTAAGGAAGTATGTTTTAGAGACTAACGATGTCACCATTTTAACTAACCACAAGGCTCTCATTTCTCTTGTGCAGGATCGAGAGACGGTGAGTCGGGTCCCGGGCCTCACATTATGTGAGGCCCAACAAGTGTGGAGGAACGCGGCACACCCAGCTCTCCAGAACGGACACAAGGACCTGTTGTGGATGGTGGCACATGAGATCCTCCCGGTCAGGGCGGTTATGCACTCCAGAGGCATGGCCAGAAACCCCGTCTGCCCACGGCCTGGGTGTGCAGGCCCAGAGACCGTGCGGCACCTGCTCTGGGAGTGCGGCGCTGTGCGGGACCTGTGGGCCAGGACCGGCCCCCTGTATCATCAGTACCTGCCGGCGGGGAGGGCCCAGATGGACTACCACATTGCCATCCATGGGGTGGGCCAGGGCGTGAAAGACATGACGAAACAGGATTTTACATCGCTCTGGCTCACCCTGACCGCCATTAAGGATGCCATCTGGGTCACAAGAAACCTGCTGGTGGGGAAGCAGGTCACGGTACCCCTTCAAGGGACAAAGAGAATGATAACAACCACGCTACAGGGGTACCGGACCTTGACAAAAGGCCAAGGGGGCCGGGGTCATACGGAGGAGGTCCCGGCCGCCACCGTACCTGGCCGCCCGTAGATGCACCCTCAGCACTCTGGCTACGGGAACAGCGGGCCAGCAGGTCAGAGGAGGGGGATCTCCGCTATGCCCCTGAAACACAGGGGCTGTGACCGTCCTGGAGAGTTGGTGTGAATGGACTTTTTTGGTATGACTCACCCTCGATCCTGGACAAAGAAATGATTTTATTTCTTTGGATTGCGTCTACTCTTTTACATCGTTTTTACTGGACCGGTTTTATCGCTTTTATCAACGCTGCGCCTGGACTCTCTCTCTTTTGACATAACACACGCACACACAAAAGACTTTTGCACAACATACACTTTTATTTTCTTCCAAAAAGCAAGATTTTTTAAGGGAAAAATTTATGTATATTGTCTGTGTTTTATTGTCTTTTAAAGTGTGCCAAAATGTTTTATCGTGCGTTTTTTTTGCTTTAGTTCTATTAAGTCCAGTGCTTAATTAAAATGGTGACTAGCCAACAAGTTTTAGGCCAGTTTTATTGTTTATGTTTTTATTTTTTATGCTTTATTTTTATTGAACAGCCTTGATTTTACTC